AATAATGAATAATAAATAATAATAATAGAATTAATAATAAATAATAATAATAATAATAATAATAATAATAATAATAATAATAATAATAATAATAAATGATTAACATAAATGGCACTGTAAATAACAATTTTACGAAAGGTTGAGTTTTGTCTCTTTTTTCATAATTTGCGTCATTAATTTGTGTAACATTTCATAAGAAAAGTCTGTTAAATTACCGTATGAATTTCTCTTTTCAAAAAAAGGGAAAACTAACTAAGCCTAATATAATTTAATTTATCACACTTTAGCTATCTTAAATCATAAACTAAATTTTGAAGTTAAGTGCAAAAGAAAAAATTACTTGCAAAAGTAATTGGTAATAATAATAATTGTTATTATTTTGTAAATATAATGAAATTTTAAAAATAAAATGCAAAATTTATGCACAAATATATGCAAATTTTATATTTTGAATTGTTTTTATAAAAATTGAAAAAATTCAGAGAAAAAAAAATTTCTAAAAATTATAATTTTCATTAAAGTTCAGCAATAATTTTTCTTTCTTTTTTTTTTTGTTGTTGTTTTGTTAATTCAAAGTAAGTGTTCATTCAAAATATTCAGCAAAGCGACTATTTATTTCAAGATAATAAGTACATTGTATTTTGGAAGAATCATAATTCTAAAAAAAATTATATCCAATTCAAATTTGTAAAATTTTTAAATGTTATTAAAATGAGCAAAATTAAATATCACATAAAAGTAATAATTTTTAATTCTTTTTTTTTAAAATTAACTAAAAGTTTGATAAATTTGCAGCTAGCTTTCACCTTAATTTATTACCTTAATAAATTTATATTTTACCTTTTATTTTTTATATTTTTTTTTTTATTCTTTGATAATAGATTAAATTGAAAATTACAAAAAAGAATAATTTTTGTCAAAAATAAAAATTTTTTTTGTTAATCATTTAGTTAATATCTTATGAATTCTCTTTTTTTTTTAATTTTATAACTTTTCAAAATATTCCAATCGATTGTATTCAATTGTATTGTAATCAATTGTAATTTTAGAAATTTTCTTCAAAAACAAAAAAAAAACTTGAAATCAGAAATCATTGTAATTAAGTAATCATATTTATTTACTAATAATTTCAAAATTTAACACTATAAATTTACATAAAGTGTATTCCTTCAAAATTACAAATATTAGCCGAATGACCAATAAACTTTTTTTTTTTTCAATTCTTTTAGACTATATAAATTTGTGTGAAAAAAAAAAGGTTCTAACCAGTTGTTTTGCATATTAGATAGATTTTTTGAATCATTGTTTGCTGTTGTTGTAATAGACCCAATGAACCTTTCATCTTATAGCTCTTTAACTTTTTGAAATGAAACGAACAAAAAAAGTTAAAAATAATTTGTCAAAGTGATAGCCTACGATTTCTTTTTTTTTTTTAACTAATCTATTTAAATAATGTAAATTTTTCATTTTAAAAAATTCACAGCAATTTTATCCCATTATTATTATTATTATTATTATTATTATTATTATTATTATTA